TCTTGGCTGTTCCAAAGCAGTGCCCACACTCTGTAGGCACAAATAAATGTTGGCCAACCTGATTTGACCACAGCTCAGAAATTGGGATTATTCACTGTACACAAAGCAGAAAGAGTGAAAAGGGTGATTCTGAAAGAAGACCTATTTGCAAGAAAAAGACAGACCAAGGGTCAACACAGGCACCCAGCTCTCTGCTCAGAGCAGGGGAAATTTTGTTCCTCTCAAGCAACTAAAGTTCCACAGGGGTGAGGCTGATAATTTGTGTTTCCAGGAGTCCTTGTGGAGCTCTAACCACTGATGACAGCCTGGAGCATCCTTGGGCTGTTACAGGCCAGGCAATTTCAGGTCATAAATGTGTTAATGCTGATTCTGGGACATGGTCTTGACTCTAGAAATGCTTAATAAATCGAGGAGGCTGCTCTTGCAGAGATTAACAACCATGTTTGATAGTTGATATTTTGCATTCTCTTTTTCTTTAACTCTTCCACTGTGCTACAGCTTTTTTGGTGTATTTTAACACATTATTACAGAAGCCACAGCCATTTTTTTTTTTCTTTTCTTACGTAAAGTTAACCTAGCATTTTGTTTCTGAGTTCAAGTGACCTTAACCTTTTCTGCTTGCATTCTGGTCACATACTAATTGCAGCTAATTATTTTGTCATTAAAAAGTGCTTTGCTCTCACCCTTGAAAGTGCAGAGCCCATTTCCATGTGCCCAGTCTGTTAGGAATGGCTCCAGCTGAACAAGAAGACAGCATTTTTGTTTTTGTTTTTTAATCCTCTCTCAAACCATATCACTAAGGCCAACTGCTTGTTTAGACTCACGTCTTTATCTCCAGGTGGCTCTTTTTGACTTGGTTGGCTTGAAGCACAAATGATAAATCTAATCTGGCTTCTCTGGCTGAGTAAGTATCTCTTCACACTGGTTCCTCAGAAAAAAAAAAAGAAAAGAAAACCACAAAATCGTGCTGCAGAAGAAAGGAGGAAAATTTTCTCTAACAGTACCTCAGCATTTGGTGACATCTGTGGAGAAAGGAGTATTTGAGAAGCAACATCCCTCTGCATCTCAGGTCTTCAGGGGACAATTTCCCATGACAGCAGTCTGACACTTCATGTGATACTCAAACCTCTTGTCTGAGGTGCCCAGCATTCAGTTAGGGTGGGTTGGTACCCAGAGGAGCAAGGAGTGCTTCATTCCTGAGTGCCATCCTCAGGGGAATTGTCTCTGTTTCTCCACTCTCTGCATTGGAAGCATAAATAATGGATCCAGGAGTTGGACAGGGCTTGGAGCAGCCTGGTCCAGTGGAAGGTGTCCTAGTCCATGGCAGGGGGCTGGAATGAGGTGAACCTTAAGGTCTGTTCCAGCCCAAATTATTCAGTGATTCTGCGAGAATTGGCCAAGATTAGGTGTGAGTCGTTCAGGGGAGGAGCCTTCACCCTTGCATGGACTCTGTAATGTGGATTTGCCTTTGGGTGTGCATTGTATCCTCCCTCCCACCCAGAATCCCTCTGCCACTGCAGATGGAACCGTGATAGGTTTACAAATAGTGAATTCCCAGAAAAGTGCAACACCATGGCACAGCTTTCCAGTGCTTCTCCTGTTTTCCCAGGAGGGCTCAGTGAGCCAGGGAGGTCAATCTGGGGAGAAGGGGATGATGGTCAGCAGTCCAGGCTGCTGCAGTTTGTGACTGAGTCCATCCTGACTCTGCTATTTCATATAACTGTGCCATTCAACTCATTTTATAGCCTGACCAAACCCCATCATGAAACTGGTGGAGAGGTGTTGAAGTTACTGCTCCATAATGAGAGGCTCTTCCAGAAATCCTCTGCACTGTTGTTTAACCACATTGTTTTCATTCTCATCTCCAAATCATTCATGCTCTTCCTGGCAGTGCTGTCTTTTATTCCCCTTTCATTGGGTGTTCTCTCTTCTCTTTATCCACTTCTATTCCCTCATATTCTTTGTTTAATTAGCTTCTGTCTGACCCCTACTAAGTGTAAAAAATGTTATTATTTATATTGAAACAGATCATTGATTTAAAATTAGAAGAAACCCAGTGTGACTTTCTCCCCACCTTACCTTAGAAATCTGCAGCAGCTTGTCTTAAATCACAGAATCACAGCATCAATTAGGTTGGACAAGACCTCTGAGATCACTGAGTCCGAGCTATGACCTAAAACCACCATGTCAACCATGGCAGTTGCACAGATCACAGCTAGTTGAGAAAACAGACAAAGAAAGAAATCCTCTGCTCTGACTTGCCCAATCTCTGCCTCTAGAAAGGCTCTGATAGAAAAGCCACATTTCCAAGTTCAGGATTCCCCTGAAAAGTCACCAAAGAAGAAATTGCAAAGCTGTTTTCCAGGCTGGCACTCATAAACCTGCAGTGGAGTGTACTCCATGGACAAAGCTGTGGTGAGAGGGGATTGTTTGCTGCCAGACCAGAGTTTCTCAGTAGCAGCGCTGAAAGCCCACCCAGAAATGGAAAAATTGAAACTAGCCAAGACAAGGAGAGCAGTTTCCCCTTTTCTGTGTCCTCCTTGTGAACTCTTCTATGTTTTAACCATCAGGCATCCGTCCTGTTCATCTGGGGCACGCAGAGCTGACAGGGTGTGGCTTGGGTTGGAAACACCTCCAGTCCTGGAGCTCTTCCACTCATCTGAGCACCCTTAGACAGGACGTTTGATCTGCTCTGAAGTGGGGCTGGAGACTGCGTGTGCTCCTTGTGCTTTGAGCAGACCTCACAGAGCCCCTGTAGACAGTCCCCAAGCTTTCAAAGTAATGAAGAAAAGCAGTGATTCTTCATCTTTGGGCAATTTTTTTTTTTATTATTTTTGACTCCACCTTCCCTGCAGCACCAGTGGTGGTGACAGACACGCCCAGGGTGGCTTTGATGGATCTCACCCAGGTGCTAGAGCTGATTACCTGTGCCAGCATGGGCTTCACAGGATCTGAAAGCTCCTCCCAGGCCTTGTGCAGTTGCCATGGCAGCTGATGCCTTTGAGATCTTCTCCACAACAGCATCTCCTGATAATACCCAAAGTTCCCCTTGTCTGTGGTAAAATGGGCTTAAAACAATCCTTTTGGGGGATGCAGTGAAGATAAGTACATTATAAAAAACTAAAAAATATATCCACAGTTAAATATCAATATTGCCTGAACTTACCTAAATTTATAATGCAGACATCTTAAATAGAGCTTGCTGTCTAGACTCATTTTATAACCAATTAAAGGAAATAGGTATTTTCCATCTGATCACAAATATCTGGCCTATTTTGGATACCTACTTTAGAAGGAGATGAATCATCCCCTTTGACCACTCTGACTGGTTCCCTCTTGGTCAGAAGGTGATCTATAGGTCAGTAGTTGCAATGTCTATATTGCACTATTTATAACCCTTCCTTGTAAAAAAAAAAATATGGTTTTGGCTTGGCTTGACATAGAAGTTTTAAGTAACAACACTTCTTTCAAAGTACACCAGATTCCAGGTTGGCAGCAGAACATCAGCATCCTTTCCAAGTGTCATGAGCACATCAGGCTTTGGACTCTCCAGGAAGCTGGGCCCAGATTCCTCTCACCTAATTTTGCAGGCTTATTTATCTCCCTGGATTAGGGGTTTGAATTGTTTTACTCTCTACAGTAAGCAGATCTCAACAAGAATATCTAGAAATTGGTCCAAATGTTTCATGCTAGGTTCTGACTTTGAGTCTTCTCTGCCAGGGATTTGGTTTATTTTAGGAGTATTTCAAGCTTTCCCTCCCACTGTGTTTGAGGTTTAGAGTTCCTTTCTCCTGTTTTTCTCTTGCTTAGCTATGTATATATTTGAGCCAGAGTTCCTGGGCTCTGTCTATGCTTCAGGCAAAAAAAAAAAAAAAAAAAAAAAAAAAAAAAAAAAAAAAAACAAAACAAAACAAAAACAAAAAAAAAAACCACAAAAATTCAAGGTTTATCTGGCCTATTGGTCAGCACCTGCTTGAGGGTGACCTTCTGCTGATGTAGAGCAACTTCCACTGCCTGCTGTGCCTGCTGGAGGTGCTCACAGGGGCTGGCTCAGGTGTGCCAGAGCTTGGTTAGATCCCCTGTGCTTCTCCACATACAAGGGCAGCAGGGGCCCCTGGGATGGGGCTCTCCAAGAATTCCATCAGGTGTTGAACAGACCTTGGTCCACCCATCCTGAGGACCCAAATCAGTTTTGAATGTTTAGGCCTGTTTGAAATGCTCTGGGGTATTTAAGATATCAGAGATGAGACATGAGGTGTATAATTTTTTTTTTTTCCCTGAGTCAAGTACTCAAGAGAATATTGGTGAATTAGGAGCTCCTGTTCAGGCATCTAAATCAGTCCTTGTGATGCCTTGAGAGGCTGATTTGGAACAGAGGCTAGACAGAGTTAAAGGAATAAAGTAGGGATTTATTAAAAAGCCTTCAAAGGATACACCTTGGGCAGCACAAGAGCCCGACCATGGCTCCACCCAAGATGGACTCCATGTCATGAATTCTCACACTTTTATAAATTTTGGTCCATTTCCATATTGAGGTTAATTGTCCAATTACAGCTTCAGGTGATGCAGTCCCATCCTCTCAGTTTGCTCTCCTCAATTCACTCCTGTTTGTACATTTTGGGCCTGAAGCTGCAGCAGTGTCCTTGGTTCTCAGGCTGGAAAAGGATTGCTTTGTGTGACTGAGCTGTGAGGAGAGCTTGCTAATGCTTTATATGACGTTCAGAGTTATATACCAATGAGAACTTACTCACACTTTATATGAAGTTCAGTTATATGCCAATGAGAACTTACTCACACTTTATATGAAGTTCAGAGTTCTATACCAATGCAGTACAGAATCTGGAAAATATAAAAGCTAAAACATAAGGCATCATTCACCCCCTTTTAGAGGCTTAAGGCATCACAACATTGTGACAATATTGTCTCAGCACTGCCCAGCACCCCTTCACAGCGAACACCTGAGATTCTCCCTTCACCTTCTCCCCCGTGTTTCTCCCCAGGTGCGTTCTGCTGCCAGGAAGAGGTGGCACCGCTGGCAGGACCACCACTCTCTGCGGGTGCGGGTGGCACGAGCCATGTCCATCCCCACGTCCCCCACGCGGATCAGCTTCCACAGCATCAAACAGACCGCGGCCGTGTGACCGCCCCCACGGACACCGCCACCGCCGCCCGCGGCCTTCAGAGCTCTCCTGTCCTCCCACCCACAGCCCCTTCCTGCAAACTCTCCTCCCCTGGCCTCGCTGATCTCTTTCCAGCGGGGCGCCCATCCTGTTTCGGCGGGCTCTCGTCTCCCACACCCGTGATGCTGCTTTGAGGCAACCAGGGAAAAGCCTCTTGGAGTTGGTGGTGGTAAAACAGATTCAAAGAAGGAACAGGTCCAACCCTGACTGCATCCCGTGGAACTTCACAATGCAAAGTATAAAACAGCACACCGGCAGGAATAATCAATTTTTTTTCTCCTTCCTTTCTTTTGTTTTTTTGTTTTTATTCCCCCTTTCCTACTGCGGTGAACAAAGACTATTTTGAACACACTGCCCATCTCACTCTGTACATTGATTCCCAATTATTTCAACAATTTTGGTGTATTATAGCCCATCACTTTCTTGTTTTCTTTGTAAAAAGTTTCTTCTCTGCAAAACTGTCATTTGAGAACTTGTGGCAGCAAGAAAAAGAGCGTCTGAAAGGTGGTGTGAAAAGCCTGAATTTATCTGCCTTCCCCATTTCTCTCTTGGACAGACTGGGAATTGTCAGGGCATCGCTGGACTGTTCCACACGGGGCACTTTGCCTGGTGAGCACCATGCCCTGCTCTTACACAGATTTTCAAAGGACAGGAGTAGCTCTAAGTAGCTCTACAAAATACTCTCATTCCTCTTAGCCCCACTCTTCCAGCACAGTGTAAGTGGAAAGCCTTTGGAAAGTGGTTTGTTTTCAGCTCAGAGCATCAGGGTGGGGAAGGACAGCTCTTCTGGGTTTAAAAAACACAAAAGGGAAGCACTGTAAAGATAATGAGGATGAGAAGAGGATGTTTGTGTTCCAAGAATAATGCTACATGCTGCACAAAGGTATCTATTGAGCATTTTGAACTAGAGCAGTTGTATCTACCAGGCTTTTTATGTGATGTTCAAGAATACTGTATATTTTCAATAATAAACACTACTCTGGGTTGGTTTCAATAAAACCAAGCATCGTTTTCTTTAACTCTGCCAAGGAAGAGGACACCTGTCTTGACAGTGATTTTGCAGCTATGGTCAGGGAAGGAAATCCTGTTTGATAGTGAGCCAAGAAGAAGAACAACCTCGTGATAAAATACTTACAAGGGAGCATTTAAATGCAAGAATTGCCTCCCTTCTCAGCTCATGGTCTTACAGGGGATCCCTTCCCCTCTGCACTCTCTCCACTGGGCTTTGCCACAGCAGTAAGAAAAATGTTGTGTTATACATTCTCCATCACCTGCATCTCAAAAGAGCTGGAGTAATTTGCTCTTTCCACTTTTAACAAGCTTACTCTGAATTTTCTTCAGGTGTTTTATGGGACTTTTCAGCATGAGCTTGATTTAAACCCCCAGATTTATGTTGCTCTAGTTTTCAGGGACTGGAAATTGTCTTGGAAAACACTGTTATAAATCCCCTGCTTATGGGGGGGAGGGAGGATGTCTGTCCTAACAGCTCAGTCATATTCAACTTTGAGCTTGCTGGCAATGAGCAGCAAATTTAAATAAACAACATTTTGTAACTTTTCCCTCTCGTAACTCATTTGGATTCATGTGCCTCAAAGAGATAACCAGCGAGAGGAAGGAGATCCGAGTGCCTGATGAGAGAGGACCAGGTCAGTGCTTTTATTCATCACAGTAGCAATGCACAGCCCCTGGCATCTTGTGTTTGAAGGGAGGGACACATCTACAGGTTAGAAACATGCACAGGGATTTGCTCTGTGCTTGCTCTGGCTCTGGGCCATGCTGGGATGAAAGAGGGATTTGCAATGCAGCAGATTCTGTCAGAAATTGCAGGTTATTGGTGCTGCCAGGAGTATAGCAGACATCCAGACACGGAGCAGGTCTGAGTAGACAAGAAATTTGGCAGCTGAAGCAGTGAACTAATGGTTAACTCTGGGGTCCTTTAGAGCTTTGAGTTTACCTCAGTGAACCACTGGAATATATCAATGCCAGGGCACCCACTTTGTGCCAGTGTCCTGGGCTATTGTTGCAATGCCCCTAGTTTCACTTACAATAATATTCCCTGAACATTTAAGCCAATAAATAGGTGAAGACAGTTAAATTTGGTTTGTGTCTTAGTAAGTCAGGTGGCTGATCTCCCACTGCACTTGGTACCTACCCAAGGAAATTGTGTAGCATGAAGAAAATAAAAATAATATTTTAGACTCTGCAAGATCTCACCCCCAGGACTTTGGAAGAAGTTCACTGTTCACTTTCCTAACAGCAACTGTGCTGCTCCTGTCTCTGCTGCACTGTCTGGTCCCAGAGGTGGAGAGCTAACATCTGTCAACAACAGCATTTGGCACATCCAAGCTGGATGACAAAATGCCCACCTTTCCTGGGAACACCAGCCAAAGCAGCTGCTGATGCCATCCCAAGACATGGGGCTGCTTAGAAATGGATTCATCTGAGTTTAGCTCTTTGGAAACCAGCCCAGGAGAAAAACACCTGGGAGCAAAACAGATAAGCAAGAACTTCCATTTTCCCTGGATAGCTCTTGATAAAAAGGCTGGAGGTTAGCCACACACCCTCATGTCAAGAAAACAAATAAATATTTCTGAACTTGCACTGAGTGATGTTGATCTTGTCTTTTAACAGTGAAGTAATGGTTTGGTGATTATCCAGGATACCTGTGAGCAGAGCTGCTGAGATGTTCCCCAAATGTCTTGGGCATCAGAGAGGAGTTTCTTGGCCATGAGTGCCCTCTCCTGAGGGTGAGGACTTGGCTGAGGAGCAGCAGTGTGGAAAAGTACTCAGGGAGCTCATGGATGCTGAAATCAACCCAAACCAGGTGTGTGACCTGGCAGCAAAGCTCTGGGATGTTTTGAAGGAAATTATTATTCCCTTCTACTTTGCACTCCTTAGCCCCCAGCCAGATGCTGTGCCCAGTTTGGTACAGGAGGCATTAATAAACTACAGGGAAAGGGACACCAAAATGCTCAGGTCTGGAGCACTCTCCATGTGCAGAGATGCAAGAGGACCTGATTCAGAACTAAGAAAGGATTTTGGACGGAGCTAACAACAGTCTGCCAGTACCTCAATGTTGCTGACAGACCCAAGCCCTTCACAGTGGTTTGAGTCAGGAGGAACAGGCAAACTGTAACAAAAAAGGGCCAGATAAGATGGAGAAAGGAGAAAGTTTTTCTTCATAAAGAGAGTTCAGCAGTGGGAGAGGTTTCCCTTTAGAGATTTTTCAAGATGCAAATGGATAAAGCCCTGACAACATCCTGAGCCTGCTGTGAGCAGGGGGGTTTGGACTGGAGGATTCCTGAGGTGCCTTCCAACCTGGGTTATGCCATCATCCTAGTGCTAATGTTGTCAGTCATGCCTCTAAGACAAGGGAAGAAGGAACATGATCAAGGTTTGCCTGCTGCCTTTTTTCCATGTGCACCTCAGGGGTTTTGGAAACATGCTCATGTCTCCTCTCTTCAAAAGAAGCTTCTTCTTTTGCTGTCTCCTGGCAGGAAGGCAAAGATGAATAAAGTCACACTCTTTAGGGAAAACTCTCCTATTTGCTTTGTGATGCCTTTTAAAGCCGTGTGTCCCTTTCAACAAAATAATCATTTATGGCACAAGTCTGGGATGATTCAGAGGTAGCTTTTGGATCAGCAGGAGCTGTCTCAGCTCAGCTGTGCCAGGAAAATGGTGATGGATCTGTTGGACTGACAGCATCTGTGCACGTGTGTGTCTGTGTGTGTGTTTATGCACACGTGTGTCCATGGCCCCCTGTGCATTTGAAGAAAATGGATCAAATTACTCTGGATTTATGGCTTATGGCGCACGAGGAAAACAAAGCTGCTCGTGTTCAGTGAGTCATTATGGAAATGAACAACAAGGAGCACTCAAGTGCTTGAAACAAGACTCTCCAAAGCTCTTCCAGGAAAATGTTTGCAATGCTGAGCACTGCAGATCACACGTGTGCCAACTGGCGTGGGGCATGAGTGTAAGCTGACTTTGGATCTGGGCTAATTGCTTCCCTCTGACACTATTTAAATATTTTTCCCCCCTCCTCCTTTGCAGCAAATGCCCAGTTCCAGCTTGCAGTGGAGCCAGCTGTGCTGCAGTTACTGGGATGCAGTGTTGGGGGTGGGTTGGGGTTCCATCCCTGTACCTGTACAGGACAGCCAGGGGGGCTGGAACCTGGGCATGGGGTGTGGAAACCACAGCTCCAGCTTCCAGCAGAGCATCACACCCCTGGGGATGTGCTCGGCAGTGAGAGAAGGTCCTGTGCTCAAGGAAATGGCTCTGGGGTGGAAAATGTGTTCTGAGTGCTGAGATGGAGTCACTCAGGACAGCGTGAAGCAGGAGGCTGGGCAGAGAGGAGCTGTGAAGGGACAGAGCCATGCTCTGCCCACCCTGGTCTCTGGTCAGACTCATCGTTTCATTGGTACCTACTCCTGCAGACAGCCACCACAAGGCTCTTCTCGCAGTCCATGGGGAGAAAAAAAAAAACAATTTTGGGATTACACTCCTCTGAGTACTGGGTATTCCTACATGGAAAGGATATTGTACATTCATGAGTGTGAAGGTTCCACATAAATCCTTCAAATTTTCATAGATTAATTCACTTTATTCCTTTTCTCATGTATGTCTTCCACAGAGCTGGAAGAAGTGTCTCAGGAGAAACTTTTGGAAAAGAGATAATATCTATAAATTTACTGGTGGTAAAATATCTAGTTAAAACCAAAACCTGGATCACCTGGACAGTCCTTTTGGATTCTACATTGGTTTCTTAAGTTTCTCCACTTGCTAATTAGTGCAGGAGAAAGTAAATCCTTCTGACTGGGGTAATTACCACGGAGCAGTGCTATAGAGACCCTGTGCACTGAGGGGACAAAGCTTTAAAGAAGAAGAACTCCAACTTTAATGAGTTTCCCAGATGCTAACGAGCCAGCCAGCCTCCAGGAGGGCTGTGCCCGCTCAGCACTGTCCAAAGGCTGTGACATGACCCTCCTGACTCACCTCCCCTCTGCACTCAAGAGCTGCAAGGGCTCCTGTCAGAGGCTGAACCAATTAATTGCTCTCTGCTGATTGGCACGTATCAAGCAAGTCCATTCTGCTGAGGTGGCAAAATGACAAATTGCAAAGCCGCTGGCAAGGGCACAGGGAGCAGCACCAGCACCCTGCAGGGGGGTGTCCTCAGGGTCCAGCAGGGTTGTGTTCATCGCTGGCACGGTGCTGATGAGCTGCCCCATGCAGGCTGAGCAGGGAACAGTGGTTAACCTGGCTCATCCCAGCCCTGGCTGGCCACTAAAAGTGCACTTCCACAGGAGAAATCCTGCGTGTCTTGCCCAGGGTTTGGTGGTTGACTCATTTTGACCTTTGCTGGTTGCTGACTTTGAGCTCAGCAGTTCAGCCAGAGGCCAAAGGACCAGCAGTGGCAGCCCAGGGATCCTGGCTCAGCAGGGATCCCCTCCACGGGGGAAACAGGGATTGCTGCTTCCTAACAGGACAGAGAAGCTGGCTCTGAGTGCAGCAAAGCAGTGCAGCCCACGAGGGCAGCTCAGCTGCTCCTGGGGCACATCTGAGGTTGCCGTGGTTCTACATCTCCCTGCAAGGCTCCCTGTCCAGCAGCCAGGCAGGGAATGGCCTCAGTTTTGTAAATCACAGGTAATTTGTTTTGGAAGGTGTCAGAACACAAAATGTCCAGACATTTTAGAATGTTCCGGGTCCAGGCCAGAAGCATTTGAGACCCTGGCAGGCAGCTGGAAACAGCTGTGATTTTGGGTTTGAACCATGGAACGATTTACCAACCTTGCAGGAAGAACAAGAAGTCACAAAAGTTTAGATATTATAGTAGAAGTAGTCACAAAGTAAAGGGAAGAATTTTTTAGTGCTGTACAGGGGGGGTTTAGTTTTGTACATGGGGGTCAGAGGTTTTAAGATGGAGGGATTTGGGCCTGCCCTGTCCTCCCTCTTTCTTCTTCCTTCCCTCCATGTTCTTGGTGATGTTGGCACTCCCAGATTGGTTTAGAGCAGAAAAGCACCATTTAATATAGGTAATAGGCATTGGGGAAAAACTGTAACCATGTCACACGTAATGTACCATATAAAAGATAGAAAAGCACCATTTAATATAGGTAATAGGCATTGGGAAAAACTGTAACCATGTAACACGTAATGTCCCATATAAAAGATAGAAAAGCACCATTTAATATAGGTAACAGGCATTGGGGAAAAACTGTAACCATGTAACATGTAATTTACCATATAAAAGACAGAAAATCACCATTTAATATAGGTAATAGGCATTGGGGAAAACTGTAACCATGTAACACGTAATGTACCATATAAAAGAGAGCAGCAGCCCTGGGCGGGGGGAGAGAAGAAGCAGTCGGGGTCAGAGAGGATGTCAGGGTGTGTGTGTGCCTCTGCCTGAGCTGTGAGCAAACCACAGCAGCCCCAGAAAAAAATCTTTTAGATAACTTGCAATAAACTGCCTTGAGACAGAACACCAAGAGACTGCTGAGCCTTTCTTTGGAAGCACGGGCTGGAGGAGAGGCTTTTCCACCACACGGAGCCACCCCTGACCCAGGGTGAGCTTCAGCAGGAAGGTGATCTGGTCCCACCTCCTGCACTGAGCAGGAACACCTTCAGCCAGGTGAAGGTGGTCAGAGCCCTGAGCAGGTGCCTGTGCTCCGGTACTTCAGAAAGGCCATCAAGTCTAAGGATCAAAGAATCCTTCTCTTTAACAAAGGGATTGTGTTTGGGATACAGAAAGATGGGGTCGACTGATGAGGCATTCAAAAGATAGTTTATTGCAAAATCAGTCTCATGGAAGGGTGAGACTGTAAGGTTGCTACGTCCAAAGCCATCACATCAGAAGCCCTTATAATTCTAAATACAATGTCTTTTATAAATTTCTTATCCAATCAGCTACTTCCACAAAGCTCATTAGCATCTTTATAACCAATTGCTAATTACTAAATTTTACATTATTTACTGAAATGTGTCTTTTTCTATCCAATCATAACTCTACCGAAACTTATTGCTGTATCTTCTACATTTTACCAACTCTACAAGTTCTGTTGTTAGACAAAGTCTAACAATAGAACAATATATAGTCCTATAGTTCTATAGAAATATAATTAATAGTTATAATTAATTAATAATTTATAGTTCTATAGAAGTATAATTAAATACTATCTTGCTTAACCGATTTATTTTCCTATATGAAGCATATTTCTACTTGCTTAAAACATATTTCTACTTAAACCACAAATCTTTATTCTTATTTCATGTTTGTTTCGCTATTCTATTCTGTAAAGATCCAAGGTCTTAGGTCAAACACTGTATCCATCTCTATTTCTGAGCTTGTATGTTCAAAGCCTTGAGAGCTCTCTGCAATTGCATTTTCCACAGGATTGTATTAGATATATTTTATAGTTATATATTTATATATATGTGTATTTATATATATATTTATTTGTTTATTATAATAGATATATTATATAATATAATATATCTATTGTTTTATATATATATATTTGTTTGGGTTTTTGTTTGTTTTCTTTGGAGAAAAACCCAAACACAAATCACAGAGTCATAGAATTACCCCTTTGGGGTGC